GTAAAACACATTTGCAAGAAATTTGTTGCACATTTTACTCTTTTTCTCTCTTTTTTTTTCAATAGCTATCAGTTTATTTATTTATTTATTTATTTTTTTTTGTCTTTTTGAGACAGGGTCTTGCTACGTAGTTCAGGCTGGCCTTGAGCTCCCTTTGTAGCCCAGGCTTGTCTCAAACTTGCAAGGATCCTCCTGCCTCAGCCTCCCGAGTGCTAGGATTACAGGCGTGTGTCACCACGCCTGGCTTCGTGCCAGTAATTTCAACACTTGGGAGGCTGAGGCAGGAGGATTGCTGAGAATTCAAGGCCAGCCTGGCCTAGAGAGATCCTGTCTCAAAACAAACAAACAAAAGACACTGGTTTCACATGGTCCCATGCCAGACAGTCTTGACGCTGAAGTCACTCTGTAAGTGGCACACTGTGAGGCTGTAGCTGTGGATATGATCAGTTGAGCAAGCCCTTGGCTGCCAGGCTCATCTGTCAGGACATGTCAGAGCTTCCTACTGGGTCAGGGAGCAGAGGGCTCCGAAAGGGGAGCCTGTGGAGTGCCAAGGTGGGGGAGATGGGACAGAGCAGGTGGTCTAGGCTGGGCTGGAAGGTGGGGGCCGGCAGCTGGTGGGGATGGGGTCTAGGAAGCCCCTTTTGGCCCCTACTGGCCAGTGCAGCAACTTCCCACCCACCCCCTCGGAGGGAGACCTGGATCTGTGGGGGACCTGTGGCTGCCATGGGAACCGGGTTCAGAACACAAAGCCCCAGGAGCAGGGAGGCCCCACCCAGAAAAACAACATCCTGGCTGCTGGGGCCCAGGCCTGCTCTGTGGGAGGGGATATTTTTAGCAGCTGAGGCGCTGGGGCAGGACTTGTATGGCCTTGCTGTCTGGCTGCATAACTCACCCATTGTCCTCTCTGACCTTCCTGGTGGCTGAGAATCCTCTCTGTCTGCCGCTTCCCCTCTGGACGAGCTCTGGGGTGCACCTGGGCCAGAGAGAACCCAGGGAGGGAGCTGGGCTGAAACCCGGGGCAGTACGGGCTTGGCAGAAGGGTCTGGGGCAGCAGAGGGCAACAAGGACAGCCAGAGGCTCTCCCACACCTTAGGGCCCTGGGCCCCCAGGCTGGTGATCCAAAGCTGTTGCAGGCACACAGCTGGGCAGGCTGCAGAGAACACTGGCCCTTCACTGTAGATGTCCTGGGCTCCAGGCATACTCTGGAGTGGTCTCAGCTAGGTCCCTCCAGCCCGCATGTGAAGGAAGCCCAGGTCTCTAGCTGTCTTGGCCACACCCAGGCGTCCTGCCCTGCTCTTGGGGTGTGATGTCTGTGTTTAATTCTGGGCACAACCACTAAAAGGCAGGCCCAGCACTGGCTGTGGGATCAAGGATGAAAACAGCAGTGGGAGCCGGGGCCATTCAAAGCAAACTCTGGGGAGGCAAGGACAACTGTGCGGCCCTGTGGCTGGACCCTGTGGGAGAAGCCACCTCTCGCTGCCCTGCCTAGAACCAGGGAGTGAGGGTGCCCTGAGGAGCAGGAACCCTGTTTCAGTCACCTCCTCCTGGGTCAGGGCCTTTGTCTACTTGTCAGCTCTGGAAAGCTGAGAAGCTACATATGGTGGCCCATGTCTACAATCCCAGCACTCGGGGAGGTAGAGGGTTCCAAATTCAAACCCAGCCTGAGCAATTTAGCAAGGCTCTGTCCCAAAATAAGAAAACAGAAAGAGCTGAGAATGTAACTCAGGGCAAAGGCCTTGAGTTCAGATAAAAAGAAAGCTGAGGAGTACTGAAAATTCTTGGTGGGTAGAGAGAGGGGTGAAAAAGGAAATCATTCATTCAGCAAATGTTTATTGAGCACTTACTGCATGCCAGGCACTGTTCTAGAAACCTAGAAAAGGAGAGGGTTGGATCTGTCCCAGCTGAAGTTCTTTCTCCCCAAAACAAGGCTTGGTGGGGGGGCCTCCTCCCTGAGAGTGAGGTGAAAGGCCAAGTTATAAAAGGTGGAGACCTCTAGAAGCAAGAAGGCTGGAGATGTGTGGGACTCTAAGGGTGGTGCCTTCCTTGGAGACAAGGTGGACCCCCGACGCAAGCCCACCCAGACCAGGGTGGCTGCAGGAGGTGACCGGCCCCCATCACCTCCTCTTCAGCACGGTTATGCACGACTTCTTGAGAGGTCCGATCTGTAGATGGGCATCCACACTCTCCAGGAAGAAGGCAGGCTTGAGCCTGTGGGTAAAGAGCCCTGCAAAGTGGCTGTCCAGGCGGCTCTGGAAGGGGTCAGTCGGAGAGGCCAAGGCACCACCCCGGCGTGGCCGGGATGCCTTCAGCCTTCGAAGGAGGCTCATCTTGCCATCACGCACAGCATAGAAGGCCAGGGCACGGTCGGCATACTCCAGGCAGACCCCGACTGTGGGCGAGAAGCTGTGGGGCAGGGCCGCTTCCAGCCCGTGAAACCAGACGGAGAAGTTGCGTCCATTCCACTGCAGGCAGCAGGAGTGCGGGTTGCGGCCCAGCCGGCCCCGGTCGTAGGGTTCTTGCGGGGAGAAGCCTTCGGCCATGACCCCCACGCTGACCCAGCCCTCGATGATCTCTACCTCCCAGTAATAGGTGCCTCTGTCCAGGGCGCCTTCACCCAGCACCTGCTCACAGTGGGTGAAGCGGGTGGGGGACTCGGGGTAGTTGATGGGACACAGAACCCTTTTGACTCCTTTGGTTCCGAACAGCTGCAAGAACTTGTCTGCCGTATCACTGTCCAAGTCCACGATGTAGGCAACTGACCACACAAATGGAAGAGAGATACCAGGCTCAGAGCCAGGCTCAGATGGGGTGGTCCCCCAAAGCTGCTCACCTCCCCCAGGCATGGGCTCACCCCTCTTTTGCAACAGCACATCTCAGTATGGCTGAAGAACACCCCTGCAATGACCCTGCCGCCCCAGGATCAATGAGGGGAGTCCAAACCCTCTAGTGCCTTTCTCAGCCTCAGGGGCCCCCATGGGTGCAGAAGGGGCCGCAGGAGGGCTCTGCATGCACTTACACTTGAGGAAATAGTCCCTGGGCGCGTCGCTCTCCAGGAGGTTAGTGCTATCGGGGTCCTGGGCCTCGGCATCAGCTGCAGAAGGGAGACAGTGGGAGAATATCTCCTAGACTGCCCGTGGCCAGGCTGCTGGGCATGGTGCCCGCCCCAAACCTGTGACTGCAGTTCTCACCCCCTCCTTCCTCCACAGCCCAGTCACCTGGGGACAGGCACACAGCTGAACAGAGCACCCTATGTCCCCAGGCATGCTGGTGTCTGAGTTCTGCTGCTTTCCCTGCTCACTCCCTGGACCTCAGCCCCTGTGAAGCTGGACAGTGGGCTAGGAGGGGCCCCCTCTGCCCTCCTGCCTGTGGCTAAAGAGCAGACTGGTCATCACAGGGTGGTGCCAGGCAGTTTCCCTCTTCTATCCCTGGGTGGGCACCAAGCCCAGCCTGGCGGAGAATGAGTCATCTTGGGGAGCAGGTACCTTCCGAGCCCAGCTTCTGCAGCCCGTCCTCGTCACCGCCCTGCCCCCGCAGCTGCTCCCACTGGCTGGCACAGGCCGAGGCCAGCGCGTCTCTCACTGCCCGGACAGCCTGGGAGGACTTGGTGAAGCTGAGCTCCCTTGGGGGGCTGGGCCCAGGGCCGCACCCCTCCTCCAGGGCCAGCCGTAGTGCCAGGAGCTCCTGCACCAGACAAGTACCCGTTAGAGCTCTGCTGGCCACAGCTCTTCCTGGCTGGAAGGGCCAGCGCCACCAGGATGCTAGACAACCACAGAAGGCTGGGCACCCAGGGTCCCCCGCTCCCTCCCCATTTCTTTCCCCTCCCCGGCCCACAAGCTGCCCTTACCTGCAGGAAGCTGACCGAGTCAGCTTCAGGAACCTGACTGAGGTTGTGGCGCGCCCTGCTCAGGCGGCTGCGCTGTTCCTCTTGGCGCCGAAGGTCTCCCTGGGAGCGACCCAGCATGGCAGCCTCCCCCTCCTCAATGAAGCCCAGTACCTCCTTCTGGAAGCTCTGCAGGGTGGCCGCAGCCTCAGCAAACAGCTGGCTCACCCGCTCCCTCTCGGCCACAGCCGCGCTCTGCACAGGATGCGAAGGAGGCAGCAGTGAGGGGCAAAGGACAAGCCTGGCCTTTGGCCCCTTTCTTCCGGATGCCAGGTGCCCACCGTGTCCTCTCCAGGTGACCCGGAGGCCAGCCCGAGCCTGCCCTGGACCTGTGCCAGGTCAGGGAGATGCTGGCACACTCTGCTGAGCCCACACTGCCAGCAACCCGCAGAGATGCACGGGGCAGGCGTGGGGAGTGTCTGACCTTGACGAGGGCCACGGTGCGCCGGGACTGCGCGATGCCGGCACCGAGCTCATCCATGCGGTCCTCCACGGCGCTCAGGACTTTCGGCTGCTCGGCCTGTGGGCGACATCCTCCCTGAGCAAGGCGGCTGGCAGCGGCCCCAGCCCCGCACCAGGGTCCTGGGACTTGCCAGGGGAGAGAGCAGGGATGACCAAGAAGAGGCATCTGTGCACAGTGGGCATGGCCATGGCGTCCCATCGTGCCAGACAGCCCCGGCTGTCCAGGCTGTGCAATTCCTGGATGCATTCCTGCTGAGAGGGCAGGCGAGCTCAGCGCGTGCCTCCCCTCCACCAGCCCGGCCAGCGCAGGGCCAAAGATGGGTCTCAGTTTTGCTCAAATTCATCTGAGAATTTTCTCCAGTGGGGTGAGAGAGACTGAGAGGTTATGGAGGTGGAAAGCACAGGAGGGCTTTACGCTGTCTTGGGAACCACTGTCCCCCAAAAAACTGTGTCCCCAATCCGGGCCTGAAAAAAGGGGATTCCGGGCAAATCCCCTGGGTGTGGTGAGTCACTGCTCCAGGCAGGAGAGACGGAAAATCCCAAGGCCAGAGGCGCCAACACCAGGCTGGAGGCCAAAGGAAACTGGGGGCGAGGTAGCGGTCTGTGCACACGCTCCCACCACAGCCCAGCAGGCAGGACAGAGAGGGTCCGTGCCCAGCCCACTCTCTGTGGCACACCAGGCACGGGCCACACCCATCCAAAGCGGCTGTCTCGGCCCCGGGGCAAATCTGAACTGAGCCTCTCCCTCGGCCAGGCTGTGGGATCCAGGGGCTTCCAGCCCGCACAGCGCTGGGGGGCCTAAAACGGCAGCGGCCTGTCTTGCACCTCAAGGACACTGGTGTTCCCCGCCCGTCCTTCCTGTCCTATAGGCGCTGTCACTGGTCCCTCCTTCCCTCTCTTTCCATCTCCACTACCAAGCGGAGATGACACTGTCAAGGCTGGAGGGACTGCGAAGATCCTCAGTTAGAGGAGGAAATTAAGACCCGACCCAAGAAGGCAGGGGCCACCCAGGTGCCTGCTCCCCACCTCCTGGAGCGCGCGCTCCTGCTCCAGCGACACGAGCTCGTGGCCGCGGTGCTCCTGGGCGGCGCAGGCCTCGCACAAGCACATGCGCTCGGCGCGACAGTAGCGCTCCAGAGGCCGCAGGTGACGCGGGCACAGGCTCTCCTCCAGCCGGCGCAGCGGCGGCACCAGGCGGTGCCCGCGCAGGGCCGGACTGCGCTCATGCGGGCCCAGGTGCGCGGGGCAGAAGGAAGCGAGGCAGGTGAGGCAGGAGAGCGCCGCGGGCAGGGCCGCGCCCTCGGGACACGCGTCGCAGTGCACGGGCTCCTCTCCAGATGGCCACGGCTGGGGCGCGCAGGGGGCCGACGGCTCCGGGGCGCTGGGCGGCGCGCTGGGCGCCGAGGGCTCCGGCGTTAGGCCCCGGGCCGGGGTGGAGGTCGGGCTGGGCATGGGCCCGGGTCCGGATCCCTGGCGCAGCTGCAGCAACTCGGACAGCGTGTGGTTCTTGCGGAGCTGCAGGCCGTCGGGAAAGGGCTCCTGGCACAGCGGGCAGCGGGCCGCCCCTCCGGAACCGCCCGCGCCGCCCGCGCTACGGTGCGGCCAGAGCGCGCCCAGGCAGGCGAGGCAGAAGTTGTGGCCGCAGGGCAGCGTCACCGGCTCCCGGAGCGGCTCCAGGCAGATGGGGCAGCTGAAGGGCCCGCTGCCGTCCATGGCTCCGCGCACCGGGCGCCGCCTGTTCTGCTCGCGCCTGGGAGGGACCCGCACCGTTCGCGCCCTGCACCGCCCCCTGGGACCCAAGCCAAGGGTCCGCCCGCTCGGCCGCGCCTTGGCCCGCCCCCCGCGTAGCGGCCCCGCGCGACTCCGGGGGGCTCCCGGGCGCCCCAGTCTGCGCCGCGGGCGTGCAAGGGGGGGAGCGAGGTAAAGAACTCGAGGGGCGCCCAGGCGGGAGGCTGGGAAGGCGTTCACCCTCCATCTCCCACCCCCAGCCTGGCCCGGGCTCGGGCTCGGAGGGCTGGCAGGCCGACTGTGTCACTACCGGCGGCATCTTGCGCTCCGGACCCCTCCCAGGCACCGTTAGCAAAGTTCCTGAGCCGCTGACTCAGAGGAAATAACTGCTGATGTACGTTTGTTTTTGCCCCTTAGCGACTCTATTTACCCCTGGTGGGGAACTTGGGCTTTTCTAGATCTGAAATAGGAAGTTCTGTCATCTTCCTAGTGCCTTGTCTGAGGAATTCAGTTCCGGTACGTGAATACTCCCGCGCACTTTTGGTGCACCCGGACAAATACAGGAGGCTCCTCAAGAGGAGGCAGTGGGTAAAACTTGCTCACGTATGCACGTGAAATGGTACTTCTTCTTTTTTTTTCTTTTTTTTTTTTTTGAGACAGGGTCTCACTATGTAGTTCAGGGTTGCCTTGAGTTCGCTATGTAGCCCAGGCTGGCCTCGAACTCACAATGATCCTTCCGCCTCAGTCTCCTGAGTTCTAGGATTACAGGCGTGCACCACCACTCCTGGCTACAGTGTGTGTTATTGTAAGTTATTCCTCAATAGCGTTAAATTCCTGAGGTGCATGCCCATCATCCCAGCAATTTGGGAGACTGAGGCAGAAGGATGGAAAGTTTGAAGCCAGCCTCAGTAACTTAGGGAGACCCTGTCTCTACGGGCTGGAAGCCGGGCGTGGTAGTGCATGCTTGTAATCTCAGCACTCTGGGAGACTGTGCAGGCGTATCAAAAGTTCTTGCCCAGCCGGGCAACTTCGCAAGACCCTGGCTCAAAATACAAAATATAAAATAAAAAAAGGGGGCTGGGGATTTAGCTCAGCGGCACAGGGCCTGCCTGGCAAGTGCAAGGTCGTGAGTTCGATTGCCGGTACCAGAAAATAAATAAATAAATAAATAAATAAATAAATAAATAAATAAAAATAAAAAAGGGCTGAGAATGTAGCTCAGCACTCCTTGGGTTTAATCCTTATTACTACCAAAAGAAAGAGAAAGAAACAAAATAAATACAACACTGGGTTATCACCAGAAGCCCACACTAATAGTAATAAGTAACTGGATAAATGAACAAGTGAGGAGAGAATAGATGTATTTCCCATGGTAGGTTGTCCAAGGCAGACCATAATTTCCTCTCCTTATGTGGGCCTGTGCACGGGGACTTTCTTGGAAGGGAAGTATAAGAATTGTAGGCCAGGGATATAGCTTAGCAGCAAAAGTGCTTGCCTGGCAAACGCAAGGTCCTGAGTTCGATTCCTGGTATCCCCCCCTGCAAAAAAAGTACAAGAATTGTTTAACAAAGGAACGTAACAAATAGCACCTAACCCAGGTGGTCAAGGTCAGCATCATCAGTGACAAGTCATAGTAACAGTATGGACTTCTCTCAGACATAGACTCCTGTCTGATAATGAGAGAACCATCAGACAAATCCTGCAGTCTCCAAAACACCTGATGAATATCTCCTCAAAGCTGTTTTGTGTATGTGTGGGGGGTGGTATTGGGGATTTGACCCTTAAAAAAATTTTTTTTTGAGACATGTAGCCCAGGGAAGACTTGAGCTTGCAGCAATGCTCCTGCCTCGGCCTCCCAAGTGCTGGGATAACAGGCATGTTATTCTTTTTTTCTTTATTTATTTTATTATTATTATTATTTTTATTCTTTATTTTGAGACAGGATCTTACTAAGTCTGCAGGTTGCCCAGGCTGGGCTTAAATTTGTGAGTGTCTTGCCTCAGCCTCCCAGAATGCAGGGATTACAGGCCTGTGCCACCAAATCTGGCTTATTTCTTTCATTTTGTAGCTAATTTCCATAGAATCTAAGATGTTAACCAAAGAGAGAATTGGGTGTAAGGTAGATAAGAACTTTGTACTCTCGACATAGCTTTTCTGTAAATTTAAAGCTATTGTAGGGGCTGGGGATTTAGCTCAGCGGCACAGCACCCGCCTGGCAAGCACAAGGTCTTGAGTTTGATTCCTGGTACCGGAAAAAAACCAAAAAAACAAAACAAAACAAAAAAAGCTATTGTAAAATGAAGTTTTTTGAGCCAGACGTAGTGGTGCACATCTGTAATCCCACCACTTAGGAGGCTGAGGCAGGGGGATCACTGGGCATGTGCCCATAGTCTTCTCTACTCTGGAGGCTGTGTAAGGAGGATTCCTTGAACCCAGGGGTTTGAGGCTAGCCTCGGCAACATAGTGGAACTCCTCTCAGAAAAAAAAAAAATGTGTACTTTAGAAGGACGCTGTGCCAACTCCCTGACACCTTCCTTGGAAAGAAAGAAGAACACTCAGATCTAATAAATGCTTCCCAGATGCCATACCCTTTGGTGGCCCGTCTCTTAGAAACTCGGGCTGTTTTGAGGCAGCTGAGGAGGCCAGAGGAGCTGCGTGACTCACCCGCCTCCCTCCACATGGGCGGTGGTAGCCTCTTGGAGGCAGTCCTGGGGAGGCCGGGCAGGGGCTCGGCGCTGTCCTGTCGTCTCCATGCACTTGGCACAGGAACTGCTCCAGGGCTGCAGAGCCCGTCCGGTCATTTCTTAACCCCAGGAGGGGCCGCATGAGCAACTGGCGCCTGTCCGCTGGCCCTCTGCCCTCGGGGATGAGCAGATCGATGGAGGAGATGTGTGGGGACAGACAGGATGGCAGGGCCTCCTCCGGATGAGGACAGGGATGGAGACAACACAGAGATGAGGTGCCTGGGTCCTTCCACCGTTCAGCTGTTAGCGGCAGGTGAGGCCCTGGGCCGAGAAGGGACAGGTTGCAGAGGGAGGCGCTGGGCAGGAGGACCTCCCCAGGAGGGTCTGAGGTCTGTTCGAATCAGGGTCCGCCACAGGAAGTGGACTTTAGTGCGTGACACAGACTGGGTGGTTTAAGCGTACTAAAACCTGGGTGGCGTAGAAGTAACAGAGTCTGGAGTGGGGGATGTAGCCCAGCGGTAGATCACTGTCCGGGCCGTGCAAGGCCCCCTGTTCCATTCCCAGTACTGCAAAAGTAAGTAATAATGATGTTCTCCCTGTACAGGAAGCTGGAACTGAAATCAAGGTGTCCATAGAGGAGTTTCCTTTGGGAGGCGGTGAGGGAGACTCTGTCGCAGGCCTGCCCCCCAGCTTCTGCTGTTGGCTGGTAACTCTGGGTATTCCTTGGGGTGTGTATGCACCACTCTGGGATCTGTGTGTTGTCACATGCCCTCTTCCTCTGTGTCAAACTGTGTGTGTCTGTGTGCACGCGCACACGCGTGTGCTGGGAATTAATCCAGGGCCTTGCAAAAGCTAAGCACGTGAACTACTGCTGAGTTAGGCTAGCCTCAGATTTCTTCTGTGTGTGTGTGGGCACATGCACAGTACCAGGGGTGGAACACAGGGCCGTTGCCCCGAGCCACATTCTCCAGCCTGGTTTTTATTTTTATTTTT